TTAGTTTTGACTGCTTTTATTGTCCTCATTTGTAAGTTGCTTTGGGTAAAAGCATCTGCTAAATGACTAAATATAAATGTAAATAAATTTTCATATTCAGTGATGTGATATGTTCTCTGCGTGGAGTAACCTCTGGCACAGTTGTAGCTTGTACTTATTAAAACAAATAAGAAGCATTAATAGATTTGTCTTCATATTTTACATGTGTACTTGTAAAATAATGGAACTTTAGGTCATGAATATGGTCTCAAAAGTCATGGAAATGTATTGGTAAAAATGTGTATGAAACCTGTACAGTGCCTAATTAATGAGAATTTCCATCCATTGATGTGTTGTATTTTGTTTTGTTTTTTTAGGAACTTCAGCCAAAGTTAATGTGAGTAATTTGGTTGCACATTTTGGTGGGGACTTGGAAATTGAAATATGAAAACTTAATCTCTGCAAAACCACTGTTAAATGTGCCACTCTCTTTCAGGTTGACGTTGAGGTATTAAAAAAGAGAGCAGAACGTTTTGGCATGAATGTCTCTTCAGTTTCTAAAAAGGTACCCTTTTTTTCATATTTAAAAAAAAAGCTTACAAATGACAAGTAATGTACAGAGCTAACATTAGGAAATTAGCTATTTTAATGTTTTGTTGCCTATTTTGTGTGTTCACAGATTGAGGATGATGAAAAGCTTAAGAAGAGAAAGGAGAGATTTGGCAATGTCACAAGTGCAGCGTCTTCTGGAGCCAATGATACAGAGGTATGGTTTGTGCTGAAAGTTGTTTTAAAAGGTTTATTAAATGTATGTGTGATGAACAATATTTATACGTGAATAAATGCCTGTTTCATCATATAAAATGATTGTCTCTTCAGGAGACTTGGATTAAACAGCTATTCATACCTATTACTTTTACAATAGCTTTGTGTTTTTTGAAGTTTGAAAATGTTGATTTATGTAGATTTTCAATAGATGAATAGAAGCTGGGAAAATACTACAAAGTATCTGTGTTCTGAAGATAAACAAGTTTTGGCTTTTTGAAATGACAGTTTTCATTTCTGAGAACCAAGTTGACCATTCTCATTTCAACTTCTAATTTTTTTTCATTGCATATAGCCATCTATATACAGTTACCATTTCTCATTTATTCTTGTAAATATATTAGTCAAGTCCTATTGAACATATGTAGAGCACATCAAATATGAGACACGGAAGCTCAAACATGCTTGCTTGACATGAGAACCAAAAGGTTTGTTCTCTCATCAAGCAAGCTATATGAAATAACTTATGTAGGGCAGTGCTAAATGTCATCAAAACATTAAGTGTCTTTTGAGGGTTGTTTTTGATTTACTGATGAAGTAGACTTAGATTTCTTAGACGGATGGTCTTTGCAAGGTTGAACATGGAAAACAGGAGGGCGCACAGACAATAATAGTTGATTTGTAATTTCATAATATCTTTAATAACTTCATTCTTTTGCGTTAAAGTACTACCAATATAAAAGTGTTTTTTATATATATATGTGTATATATATGAGTCCATTTAATAATGTTACTGGAAAAATAAATTGCACAAGATGATACACACATGGGCAAAATGGTTGGTTCCCTTCCATTTAAAGAAAAAAAAAAAACCACAATTGTCATTGGATTAACTTGAAACTGACAAAAGTAATAATAAATTAAAATTTACTGAAAATTAACTAATGAAAATCAGACATTGCTTTTGATTTGTGGTTCAACAGAAGCATTAAAAAAAAACTAATGAAACTGGCCTGGACAAAAATGATTGTACTCTTAACTTAATGTTTTGTTGCACAACCTTTTGAGACAATCACTGCAATCAAGCGATTTCTGTAACTCTCAATGAGTCTTCTGCACCTGTCGACAGGTATTTTGGCCCACTCCACTCCTGTCTCGGGTTTGAAGGGTGCCTTCTCCAGATTGCATGTTTCAGCTCTTTCCACAGATGTTCAATAGGATTTAGATCAGGGCTCATAGAAGGCCACTTCCGAATAGTCCAATATTTTGTTTTTAGCCAGTCTTGGGTATTTTTAGCTGTGTTTTGGGTCATTATCCTGTTGGAGGACCCATGACCTGCGACTGACACCAAGCTTTCTGACACTGGGCAGCACATTTCGCTCCAGAATGCCTTGATGGTCTTGAGATTTCATTGTACCCTGCACAGATTCAAGACACCCTCTGCCAGATGCAGCAAAGCAGCCCCTGAACATAACAGAGCTTCCTCCATGTTTCACAGTAGGTACAGTGTTCTTTTCTTTGTATGCTTCATTTTTGCGTCTGTGATCATAGAGCTGATGTGACTTGCCAAAAAGCTTTCTCATCTGTCCAAAGGACATTCTCCCAGAAGCTTAATGGCTTGTCAATATGCATTTTGGAAAATTCCAGTTTTGCTTTTTTTATGACTTGCTTTCAACAGTGGAGTCCTCCTCAGTCATCTTCCATTAAGTCCACTTTGGCTCAAACAGCGACTGATGGTGCGATCTGACACTAATGTACCTTGACCTTGGAGGTCACCTCTCTTTGGAAGTTGTTCTGGGCTCTTTGGTTTCCATTCATATTATCCTCTTGCGGCCACATCCAGGGAGGTTTGCTACAGTCCCGTGGACCTTAAACTTCTGAATATTATGTGCAACTGTAGTCACAGGAGCATCAAGCTGCTTGGAGATGGTCTTATAGCCTTTACCTTTTAACATGCTTGTCTATAATTTTCTTTCTAATCTCCTCAGACAACTGTCTCCTTTAGCTTTCTGTGGTCCATGTTCAGTGTGGTGCACGCCATGATACCAAACAGCACAGTGACTACTTTTCACCCTTTAAATAGGCAGACTGACTGATTACAAGTTTGAAGACACCTGTGATGCTAATTACAGGACACTCTTTATTTAACATGGTCCCTATGGTCAAATTATTTTCAGTCTATTCTAGGGGTACCGTCATTTTATTTATTTATTTATTTATTTTTTTTTCCCAGGGCAGTTAAATTTTTTATTTTTTTTAATGCTTAGGTTGAACCACAATTCAAAAGCAATCATTTCATTAGTTAAATTTCAGTAATGTTTTTATTACTTTTGTCAGTTTCAAGTTATTTCAGTAACCATTGTTGGTTTTTCTTTAATGGAAGGGTACCAACAATTTTGTCCACGTGTGTATGGGCTTTTTAAGCATAGGTTTATGTGTGATTTCTGTTCATATTTATTTAGCTTATTTGCTTCATAAACATGCCAAGTAATAAAGTATCTGCAACGTTAATTCAGACTATGAACAAATATCTTTGTTCTTAGGAAATTAAATTATAAATATCATAATTTTTTTTATCTCCAGCATCTAATGGAGTACCAGACAGATATTTGTATTTATGCATTCGTTTGTTTTATTTAATATTTTATGAGAACACACCTGCATATATGAATTAATTTAATTTTCTTTTGACGGAAAGGTGCTACACTATCTAAAGTGTTGGAAAACACTGTATTCAGAGTTTGTTTCAAGCTTGAGTTCAAAAATTTCTGATAGTTCTAGAAATTATTAAGGTTATCTTTGTTGGAAGAAATTATGATTCTACCAATTAATATTTTGTGGGAGGACTGACATTGCCTACCATAAAAGAGACAAGGCAGTGAACAGAAATTCATCACTTTGTGGCAAGACTACATTTTTGCCATCATCCTCTGATTAAATTTAGTGTGCGATTCCGATAAAGGACAGGAGCGATTTATATATATATATAAAAAAAAAAAGGCAGACAATATCATCCTTGGCACAATCACTTCAGAGGAATAAAACTGAATCTTATCCGCTGTAAATCGTGGAAACACCTCAAGCGAGGCTCCTATTTATATCAGTATTGACCATGTTACTATCTTGTTTCTCACTATGATGGCCATCTCCTTATCCCACCTTCTCTTTCTCTTTCAGGCAAAGAAGCGAAAACGTGCGGAGCGGTTTGGAAATGTATAAAAATGGTTCTTACCCTTGTATTTTTATTCATTTTTTTTAAGTGTTCTTTGCGGTTCATTTTGATAAGCTTGTAATCCCTGTAGTGCCATGGTTGTTTATCTGCTATTTACATTAAAAGTACCCCAGTTCCTTACTAGTTTCTCTTTTGTCTTTCTTTCTTGATATGCTTGATAGATGATTTGAATTTGGCTTCGGGGTGTGTGGGTCCTTAAGGTATTAATATGCATCCTTCAGAAGTAGATCAGGAAAGGTGTACCTAGAGGTATAACGATATGGACTGATGTATGGAATTACATTTGCATTGATACATTTCAATAGTGTAAAAAAATTGTATTGAAGATGCATCTTTTAGACACTCATGTTAGCCACATCAGCACACAACATCCACGGACCACTCATTTCTCTCAAATCGTAAGTTCTCTTTTAAACTACAAGCTGATCGTGATGTACTGTATCAACCTCGCGTTTTGACAAGGTTTAACAACTACAAATGTTTTAAGCAGCATGGTATAGTGTGCTGTCCGGCATGAAAACCTTTTTTGTTTTTTTTTGTCCCAGAAGAATTTATTCAATCCTTTTTCCTCATAGCAGAAAATGTGCAGTTATGAACTCCACATATCTTATCTTAGGGACTTTCTATCTCACTTCACAATATTCAAGGCCAAATCTTTGCTGACATCGCAGTCTAAAAGTGTTTGCGTGTTTTGGGAGAGAGAGCAGGGACTCCAGGGATCTTTTTGATAGGATCCCTGTTATTTGTGATGGGTGTCTTTTCTATATTTAGATTAATACACTTTGTGAATTGTGAATAGTCCATTATTAGTGGACTATATGCATAATATCTCCTTATTCTTAATTTTGATGGTCCCCCAACAGATATTTTACTGACTGCAGGTGACTTTGCTAGAACATGTCAACTTATTCTACTAACCCTAACCATACAGTTTGTAGTTGCACTTGATTTTACAGTACTTGTACAGTGTATTTACCCAGGAAAGTAATGGGTAGTATAAGGTACCTACATGGTTTAGGTTCAGGATTAGTATTACCCAGTTATTGTAGTTGCTATAAGTACAAAAGTATGTACACTGTAAAATAAAGTGCTACCCTGTCTGCTAACACTCAAATGAGAGTTACTTAACATGTATTTGCAAATTAATGTGAGTTAGTTTTCATGTAGTTGCAAAGTTACTTAGTAAGTCTAAAGTGGAATAAAGCATAGTCCCATGGGTTTAGCTACAAACCATCTTTAGTACGCTACGAAAGAAAGTCACCTACATTTTGGATGGCCTGAGGCAGTAAGCATATTTTCATTTTTAGAAGAACGATTTCTTTAAAGCTGTTCACTCTCACTAGCCCACCACTGGGCTCATTGTTATTACATATTTAAGACCGTGATATATTATTTCATTTTGAGATATATATGATGTTGTAAAAACTGTATGCTAATAATTCATTACATAACATCCATTCTAGTATTTGTCCAAAAGATTTGTCTAGTATTTGCTCAAACAAGTCTCAATAACCAACCAGAGCAGCCAAAGCCTTATCTAATGCCAGTAAGTTTTCAACAGTTCAGCTGGCCAACAACCTTTCTGAAAATTGATCTTGACAAAATCATTATCCAGTCAAACGCAGATTGTCTGCTGCTGCTAATCGCATGTCCACCTTAAGCTTAAAAATTGCTACTGAAAGTTTGTAAGCATGCATGAAAATAAACTTGCATGCTCCAGGAGCACCCAGACTTTCATTTGCACCTTCACTCCACACTTCATGGTTGTCACATGGATCCACAGAGGTTATCCAAAAAGAGGTTATACATTTCTTTTATACACTTGTAGATGGGCTTCGTGAATTAAGTGATGACGAGCCAGATACATCAAATCCAACTCTAGTTTATGTATAGCTACTTTGAAAACCCAGTTTGAACACCTGGGCCTCAAATTAACCTGAAGCAGTCCAGTAGTCCTCTGGTGTTGTTCCAACTGTTTATCATCTGTATGCCAAACTAAATTCAAATGCCTACACTGCCAAGCACCTGGAGACCACAAGGAGACTAAGGCAGGACATGCTCCTTCCTTTCAATTGTTATCTCCATGGATCTGGTAAAGATTCCGACAGCTGCCGATTATGTGAATGGGACTAGTCTCTATGGCATTGACATCGACTTTCCAGCGACTGTCATGTCGTGCAGGAAAGTTTAGGCCATCTCCTCAGCACTTTAACTTAGCAATCCAATGCTGAAAACATGAGGGGGGAAAGGAACACCTGCTTATGATCTCCTCAGCTAACTGCAATCAGTGTATCAGCGGATACATGATGGATGCAAGGCCGCCTTCTATCCACACCAGAAACTCGCCATTGATGAGAGGGTAGTGGCATGGAAGGCAAGAATTGGGCTAAAACAAAATCATAATGATAACCTAATAAAGTGGGCATACAAGCCATGTTTTTTCACATCACATTTATGGGATTTCTTGGTTTATGTTGGCAATTCCCCAGTAACTCAGATCCAACAAATCAAGGGACTGAAC